CACACGCACACACACACGCACACTCACATGTGCACACACGCACACAAACACAATACCATTTTATTTTTTCCCAGGTCAAAAATGAGATTTAAATTTTCAAAACGTAAGAATATACATATTAATAAATTTCAAAAAGCTTAATAAAAAAGCTTTATGCCCACATTATAAATTTAGGAAGCCAGTCATATAATGCACATTTAAATACACAAATACAAACATACACACATTTGAGAAATACTATTTAATAGTATTAAATTTTTAAGGACCACTAAGAGAGACAGAAAGTGATTTTTATATTAGCAAAAACAATGCTCATATATAAATACTACTCCTATTATTGGTAAAAAGCAGGAATCAACAAATTTTTAGTAAAAATTCAGAATAGAATTTTTATTAGCCCATTAGTTTTGAATGCCTCCTGCAAAATCAGAAACATGTCCTTCTAAAACAAACCTAACTGATCATTTGATGCAAAAATATTATCAAGAAACTTTTACTTTACCACAAAGCACAGCAATCAAAGCACTTGCCAAAATCCTATCTAATGCTAGCAATCATTATTGTTATATAATCAGTCAAGCCCCCAAAGTATAGGGAAAAAATATACACTTGACCATTTTCAATCACAAGTTCTTTAGAGAATAAAATATTCTTTGAGCAAAACCTCATGAGAACTAGAAGTCCCTTTTCAATATGTGGTCTCTCCTAGAGCTGTAACTAAATATTACCGAGTGGCAGAAAAACAAATCTCAAGAAAGGATGGACTTAAAAAAATTTCATTGTGGAAAGCACAAAGCAAATCCTAATACCAATTTGAAAATGATAGCTCCCCTGCTTCAAGAGAAGCAGATATAAAAACTCACAGTAAAAAAAAAAACAAAAAAAACCTCACAGTAATGACTAAAAGACCCAACTGGATCTATTGAACCTCTGAAGGACTTTAATAAGCATGATCACTAAGCAGCTTAAACTTGAAATTTGGTTTTAATTAGTAGTTGATTAAATCATTATTAAATTCATAGAATTTAAAATTAATAGTTCAACTTTAATCAAAACTTTTTAAAGTCAAATTCAATAGTGTATAACATGGAACATGAAACTAATTTTGTTAAATCCTTAGATGTCCTATGTTGAAATTCTATTAATTTTATGACATTAAAAATAATAATATACTACTCATTTGCTAATCATATCTTCTAAATCCACACCTTGAATAGGAGTAATTTCACGAATATAAAAGTACAATTAATGTTGGCTGGGTTTATATTCCTTAAATATCAACAAAAGACTCAACATAACCAGTTTGGACTTTTCCAAAATTATGCTCTATATTTTTATTCTCTCTCTTGAAACAGGGAAGCTATCACTTTGCAACTGGCTTATTGACACTGTGTATATCGTGACCTGGATGATCTCTATGGTTTCTTCCAATTCTGAGAGGCTATGCGACCTTAGGTTATACAATTGCTTTTTTTAAGTCTCAAAACTTCCTGAAGCCTTTGCATATATTAATAATACCTTGATCTCACTAGTAAACCTATAGAGGAAAGTGGCCTTAATTTTCTCTTACAATGCAACATAGAAAATAAAGACCAAGACTTGAATAATGGTCATGAATGTGACCTAAACTAGAAAACAAGTGGTTACCTCAAAGGGAGAGGAAAATTACCTGTAGCTAACTTATGCTTCCCATCTATATTCTATAAAAGCTGACACTATTATGTTCAATAGAAACATAACTGTGGGAAAGACACACTAGGGTACGTAGGATCATAGGATGTCATTAAAACAAAGTTTTATTTCCAAAAACAAAAGGTAAAAGCCTCTCCTTAAGGTATTTTCTCTTCAGTCAAAAACAATTATGAATTCAAAGCAAAAATAACAGACTGTAAGGATGCAGAACTAAAAAAAACTCCATTTTTTATGGTTTAAAATTCTTAATTTGACAGATATCTCTTTAGAGAGAAATTTATAAGATTCCCCTCCCAACTCAAAGGCCACTAACCTACGGAAAAAATAAAAGGAAATAAAGGACTATGTACCCAAAAAATGATTTAAGAAAAGCTACAGATGTTTTTTAATAAAAAATAAAACACTGTACTTACTATTTAAAGTAATAGTATTTTCATTAAATATTTTTTAAATTTCATATTATGGTTGGGTAAAGAGATAGAAAGCAACTGTTCTAAAAAGAATAAAACAGAACAAGTTAAAGGAGAAAGCTAATAATAAGGAAGGATAAAAAGAGGAGGACAAGAAAACAGAAAGATGGAAGAAAATAAGACATAAAGCTAGGACTTTAAGAGAGATGAAAAAACAGAGAGGAACATATAAATAGTTAGGCTGCACCATGTGAACTGTAGATCACTTAGGCTGCAACCTGAATACGTTTCTGAACATCCCAATGGCTCTTCCACCAGTCAGAACAATAGTGCTTTATAAGCTGAGTGCCAATGGTCCAAACAAGCAAACGGTGGTTGCTAGTGAGCTACAACTCGCCTATTTCAGACCATCCACCAAATTGTAAAAGTTAAAAAGTAAAAACCTATTGGCACCAAGTAAATTATTTTTAATCACAAAGCACCCTGAATTCAGTGGTGAATTCAGCCAGGCTTCTTTTATCTAGTCATTGGGGTGCTAGGAGACCAGAATCAGGAGGATTCACACAACTTATATTGGTGACAATGTCTTCACCATTGCATTCTCAGTTATAACTCACTTTCCAAACTGTTTGATTACAGCAAGACCAATACTCAGCTCAATGACTCTGACGTGTTTTTCTCCACCATGATTCACCCTCCTGAACCAGAAGTGAGAAGTGGGATAGCCCATGAAATTTAGGGTAGCACATAACAGTGAATAGGCACTACAGCATGCCACACAGAGAGCTCTAAGCTTTCTAAAATCCCACATCCAAAGAACTCAAACTACAAATTCAACCACAGTGTAAGCAATAATATCAATCCCTTTATCAGAACAAACTAGATATCCTGAGTTAAATGGAGACAGAGTTGAACATTAGAGGATATACCGACATTTGTTACGGGAAAAGAAGGAGCATTTCAGCCAATGTGGTCAAAAATATGAACAACCAAAACAGAAGCAAGAAAGTTATGAAAATATATAATTTGTTTAGGAAGCCAAGAGTACTCTAAGGTGGCTGAAGCAAGACAGACAGAGGGCCACCTGTCTGTATATAATACTGGGTCATTTGAAAATGATAAAGAGTTTAAATGTTATCCCATCATTACTTTCTTTGTCATTGTTACCTTTCTAACTCGGCAGCATTGATTTGGCTACCACTTCTTAGTATAACCCTGAGTTTCCATCTTTTTGGACAAGGAAAAAAATATTCATTTTCCTCAGTAACTAACATCGCTAAGAGCTGTGGAATATAATTGAAAGTGAAGTAGCCAAGTCTCTGGGGAAGGTATGTACGTGGAGAACAAGACAAAGAGGAAATAGGGTATTACTATAAACTTTATGCCCTCCCTCTTGGGGTTCCGAGCAAACTGCAGAGTAGGAGTATGTGCATCAGCCAAATAAATCCATCCAACAAATGTCTACTGAGGCAAGTACTACTGTGGAATCTTGGCATGAAGTTAGCCTCAATGCACTCTCAATCTCTTGGCAGAGATAATACACATCAGATTTTGGTGTTATGATACAGATGCTAAACTAAGGAAACACAAAGTTGGGAGGGGGCAGAATTCTGAATTTAGGTGGATGAAAAAGTAGGAAAAGATGGAACCACAGAAAGCGTCACAGACTGCAAAATTTCAGAGCTGACCATCACAGGATAATATAGGAATTTGTTAAGAGAATGAGCATTTCAGTCAACGTGGGTCAAAAAATAAACAGTCTGAACAAACGTAAGACACTGTGAAGATATATAATGTGTTTACGAAGCTAAGAGTACTTTACTGTGGCTGAAGCAAGACAAAGAGAGGGCAACGGCAATAGAAGAAGCTGGAAAAGTTAACATAGAGCCACAAAGAAAGTGGCCTTAGATTACATGACATGAAGTTGGACTTTATTCTGAAAGCCACAGGGAGACATTGATTGCTTTTTAATAAATGGAGGGTGACAAGAGCAGATCAATACTTTAGAAAGATAAATTTGGTGATGGTGTGAAGGCTCGATTATTGGGGAATGGAGACAGAGTGATCAGGTTCAAAATGATTATAAAAGGGAGTCTTTGGGGCTTCCCTGGTAGCACACCGCAACGAAGAGTAGTCCCCGCTCGCCACAACTAGAGAAAGCCTGCGCGCAGCAACAAAGACCCAACACAGCCAAAAATAAATTTAAAAAATAAAAATAGGGCTTCCCCGGTGGCGCAGCGGTTAAGAATCCACCTGCCAATGCAGGGGACACGGGTTCGAGCCCTGGTCCAGGAAGATCCCACGTGCCACAGAGCAACTAAGCCCATGAGCCACAACTGCTGAGCCCGCGTATCACAACGACTGAAGCCTGCGCGCCTAGAGCCCGTGTTCCCCAACAAGAGAAGCCACCGCAGTGAGAAGCCCGCACACCACAACGAAGAGCCCCAGCTCGCCGCAACCAGAGAAAAGCCCACGCACAGCAATGAAGACCCAATGCAGCCAAAAATAAAATAAATTTATTTTTTAAAAAAGCGGGGGGAGTCTTTGAAATCATTAGATCTACCGATTATAAACCCTAACCCCACCTCCATCTAGGTAACATTGTTTTATGCACTTAAAAAAAAAAAAAAGAAAAACACCTGAATCAGTTTGAAAACACTCTGTAATTCAGACTTTCCACTAATTCATTTAGTTTTCCCAATTATTCCAAAGAACAGAGGTTTTATTATGTATAGCTTTGTTGTAAACAGTGTCTCCAGTTTTGAAATTTTATATCAATGCCACTAAAATTACTTTCATACAATTATCTCATGGCATGTAGTGAGAAAAAAAAAACTGTTAAACATCCAATTTGACCCAATAAAGTAACTGCCATAGGGTTTTCTTTTTTATCCTTACCATTACAAGTTCTTCCTGTAATTCACTGCAACTTTTTTCATTATACTGGAGTCTCTTTGAAAGGTCTATAATTACTTTCTTCTGTTCCTCGATTTCTTCATTTAGTTTCTTGTTTTTGGAGAAATACTCTCTCTCTAATCTGAAAAGTTAAAGTGTCAGAGCAGGTTTTTCAAATATGCTTTTATCAGGTCCTATTATACAACTTTAACACAAGTCGCAGATGTATTATATATCATGGTTTCATGCCCAGAGGTTTTAAAGGTCACTTCTCATTTTTTCAAATAGAAAGAATTGTACATTCTTAAATGAAAGACTCTGAAGGAATAATAGTTGAGGCCAATAGATAACATGTAGAGGTGGAAGTTGAAAAAGTGGCATAATATGCATGCTATCTAGAAATACAAAGTTAAATATCAGAAGAAACAGCTATAAGAATTAAAATTGGTTGCTTCAAAGGAGCAGAAACTGGTCGTAGAAAGCAATGGGGTACCAAAATGTGGTTTTTCATGAGCTTAAAAGCACTATTTTACTTTTTAGATTATGTACAAGTGCTAACTTTATTAAAATCAAATTTTAATTTAAAAATTAGTAATGAGCAAATATAAAATTAAATGCACCTGGTATTTGGTGCTATTTTATAAATAAAGTCCAAGTTGAGTCCAGTGAAATGGTGAACAGCCCTTGCTGTCAGTAATCTCATGCACAACCCAAAAAAGTTGGCTCCTATGCTTCTGCCAACAGCCCCACCCAAGGGGAATGAGTAGGGCGGGAGTAAACTGAAGGTTCAAGGGAGCCCCAGTCTCTCTGAATCCAACAGAGAAGAGTCAGGACTTGACAGATGGAGGATTTTAGGCAAGAAAGGAAAGGGAGAAGAAGGAAACTTGTAGTTAAGAGCCGTTCTTTCCTACTGGATTCCCATTTTGTTGTTGTTGTTATTGTTGTTTAAGAGTTCAGCTAAGAATTTGACAACAGTACAGCTGTTTTAAAAAATAGCCATCTTCAGGCTATCTTTCACCAAGAATATAAACAATAATAGTGCCACAAGTTATAATACTGGGTTGGCTAAAAAGTCCATTCAGTTTTTTCAGTAATTTGGCTCTAGTACACCTTAGTTGTCTTTACCTTCATTCGAAACAATTTTGTTAGACTATATTGTGACAGCTGTCATATCAGCGTGCATTTAAAAAAACTTATCAAGTTTGTTGAATTTTTGTGTAGCCATTTGGATATTGAAGATGGAAGAAAAAAAGCAAATTTTTGGCATATTATGCTTTATTATTTCAAGAAAGGTAAAAACGCAACTGAAACACACAAAAAAGATTTGCACAGTGTATGGAGAAGGTGCTGTGACTGATCGAACGTGTCAAAAGTGGTTTGCGAAGTTTTGTGCTGGAGATTTCTCGCCGAATGATGCTCCACGGTCGGGTAGACCAGTTGAACTTGATAGTGATCAAATCGAGACATTAACTGAGATCAATATTATACCACGTGGGAGACAGGGGACATACTCAAAATATCCTAATCAAGCACTGAAAATCATTTGCACCAGCTTGGTTACGTTAATCGCTTTGATGTTTGAGTTCCACATAAGTTAAGTGAAAAAAACCTTTATGACCGTATTTCCCCACGTGATTCTCTACTGAAGCGTAACAAAAATGTTCCGTTTTTAAAACAAATTGTGACGGGTGATGAAAAGTGTACAATAATGTGGAACGGAAGAGATCGTGGAGCAAGCGAAATGAACCACACCAAAGGTCGGTCTTCATCCAAAGAAGGTGATGTTGTGTATACGGTGGGATTGGAAGGGAGTGAAAACCAAACAATTAATTCCAACAAGTACTGCTCTCAATTAGACCAACTGAAAGTGGCACTCGACGAAAAGCATCCGGAATTAGTACAGAAAACACATAATCTTCCATCAGGATAACGCAAGACTGCATGTTTCTTTGATGATCAGGCAAAAACTGTTACAGCTTGGCTGGGAAGTTCTGATTCACCCGCCATATTCACCAGACATTGCACCTTCGGATTTCCATTGATTTCGGTCTTTACAAAATTCTCTTAATGGAAAAAATTTCAATTCCCTGGAAGACTGTAAAAGGCACCTGGAACAGTTCTCTGCTCAAAAAGATAAAAAGTTTTGGGAAGATGGAATTATGAAGTTGCCTGAAAAATGGCAGAAGGTAGTGGAACAAAATGGTGAATACATTGTTCAATAAAGTTCTTGGTGAAAATAAAAAATGTGTCTTTTATTTTTACTTAAAAACCAAAGGAACTTTTTGGCCAACCCAGTACTTTTGTACTTCTTTTTATACTTTTGGTTGATGTATTTAGAAAAATAAATAAGTCCCTAAATACTGAATGTAATAAAATAAATAAATTTAGATTCAGTCTGTTCAGTATCATATCCTTGACTAGCATTATTTTAAACTAAATTTAAACTTAAACTAGATGTAAGGACTATCAGGATCTTCTCCCTACCATTGCCTAACAATCAGTTAGTTACAACAGCTAATGAAGACCTGACACATTGAAGGGAATTCCCTGGCGGTCCAGTGGTTAGGTCTCTGTGCTTTCACTGCCAAGGGCACAGGTTCGATCCCTGGTGGGGGAATTAAGATCCCACAAGCCACTCAGTGTGGCCAAAAATTTCAAGTATAAAAAAAAATTACTGAAAAAGTTTAGTTTTATACTGTAAGTTTTCAATGGAAAACAATTTATAACTAAGAAAATTTAATTAGAGGAATATAGAGAATATATATTCTTTCTAAAATTATACATTATATGTATTCGTTAAAATAGCCTGTTATTCAAATTCTTAGCTGAGTTCTTCAAAAGATATGTTTAATATATAATAATTTTACTTATTATATTATTATATGTAATATTTAATATATAATAATATATTAAATATATACATATATTCCATCTAATATATATGTATACATATGTATATTCCATCTAAATATGTATACATATATATTCCACTGAAAATAGTTTCATGCAGGAATATTCACTGTTATGAAACTGTTGGCCAAAATTAAAACTCTAAAATACACACACAGCTTTTTCTTCCTGCCTTTTAATGAGATCCTGCCTAGATCTACCTGGAAGGAAACAGAAGTTTAAAACCCTTAACCACCTGCAAGGTTCAGGCAGCATTTCCTCTATAACCTCGTTATCACCAACTGCTAAATCAGATCTATCCAAAAGGTAAAACAATGTCCTACCCCAAAACTCACTGCTCTCAGAGTTGTAAATTAAAGGTATTATTTACCTTAAAGACCTAAAATATCAATTCTCCTTTTGAAATACATTATCCAAAACTTAGAACTACTTTGAAAAATTAATACTTGAGAGTTTGTGACTCTAAAAGATTTTAAAGACGATTCTGAAAAAGAATCAGACGTATAGGTAGAAAATGAAATAACTTATCCAATCATCCCTCATGTCATATCAGTCCTTCTCATACCACTGATAAATGGAAAGGAAGTGGCTGTCGTATGACATACAATGACAAGAAGGAGGGCATGGGGGAGAGAAGTCACAGAAACTATCAATGAGTCGTGGACTTTAATTACTACTTAATTTTTACTGTTTCTTGTTTATTTATTAATATTATTAGTAACTTTTATTATAGCACAGTTATATAGGGATGAAGAACAGATAAGGGACATTATATTAAAGGATTTAGGATTGTCAGCTGGTGCTTAGCTGTAATACATAATTAATATTTAGAACTGTTAGTTTGTGTTTATTGGAATACAAAACTTGAGCAAAATTTTTCAAGCACCAAAACACAAATAATAGCAAAACAAACATAAGGAAAAAATTTGCTCTGGAGTCCAATTTTAAAAGTGCATAGGTTAAAATCTTAGAGCTTAAACGTTAGCAATTATCTTAGAATTCCTCTAATCCAACCTTTGCAGAGCTCTCTTCTTCGGTATCCATGACAAAGAATCATCTACCCCCTGTTTCGAACTTTCCAAGGCAGAGAGTTCACTAGTTCCCCAAAGAAGCCTATTATTTCACCGCTGGAAAGCTTTAATTGTTGGGAGTACAGTCTGACTTCTTACAGTTTCACTAGTAGGTCATAATCATTACCTCAAAGCAACAGTAAAGAAGCCTGTACTATATGCTACATAAAGGCCCTTCAAACATATTTATATATAAATGTGCAGATTCAAGATATGATTCAAAGGAAATAAAGGAGCATAAGTCCTTAGAATAATGTTCACAGAATGTCATTTAAGTCATTCTGGAGGAAGCAAGAAAATTTAGTTAAGAATTACTCATTTAATGTATTATAAGCATTACTAATAAAGGTAATCACAGTTGAAGAGTTTAAAATTTTTTCAAACTTGTCTTTCAAGTGCCATCTTTATAATTCCTGCCATACTCACAACTCTAAATAATACTTTTCTTTAAATTAACTCACATCGTAAGTTAAATGAAGTATTTTAAAAGGAAACTATATTATAACTGTAAATGGAAAACTACTATCTGTCATAAATAAACATTAAAAATAAATACATAACTCTAATATATCAACCTATTATCGTGTCATGTACCAATGGTGGTACACATTTCATCCTCTGAGAGGAAATGGCTTAAAATGTCTACTATTGACTTATTTTTGGAAGCATATTAAATAGCTATAAACTTCTTAAAAAATTTCACAGAACTTTTCAGATGATAGACATTTGAACTGGAAAAGGTTAAAATCAATAGAAGTCAGAAAGATCCTGACTCTACACTTAGCTGTGTGTCCTCACCCTCATTAGGCCTCAATTTTCACATCTGTAGAACAGGGACAAAAAAGAGTAGCTACCTCATAGGGTGTTAGAAATTAAATAAAACCATGCAATGCTAGGTATGAAGTGAGCCACATACATGATAGCCCCAGTAGCAGTATTATTCCTACTATTATTTCTACAGTTTACGAATATCTCAAACATTACCCATCTCCCACATAGCCCATTTTAGGTGGCCTAGAAGTCAAGGCCTTAAAGATACTATATTACATCAGTAAATATAAAATATATTAATATATTTACTTTCTAGTATAAGAAAGTATTTCTGCATTTCTGAGACTCCTTGGAATTGCCATGATACTTCAAAATCCAACAGAGCATTTCCATATTTACCTAGTACTACACATTCATACTCATGTAGATTTCATAAACTCTTAATATTAATTTAGAGAGTTTTACAGTATAACACTTACATATTTAGTTTTGCAAAGCTCTCTTGTGCATTATGCTTTTCTCGTTCATATGCACTTTCAACTTCTTTGAATTCATTCTTGATTATTTCCAAATCAGCAACAGCTTCTGCTTGGCTGGCCTTTTCTACCTGCAAAGCTCCTTCAAGGTCTCGCATCCGTAACTACCAGATGACAGAAAAGTAATTAAAGCAAGAAAGGAAACACTAGCACCAATCTCAAATTGAGTAGAATACTTTATCAAACAGCAGATTATCATTCATCCAAACAAGTCTTTCTTTCTGTTTTTGGTTTAAAAAAGGAAAATAAACAAAGGGCAGTTTATTCCCTTTCTCAACATGTGTAATGGAAGAGAAGAGTGGAAGAATACAGACTCAACTGTGCTATGAAAAGGGACAGGCGGATACAATATAATGCGTCCCACCAAAGTGCCTAATTTTGATCTACTAACCCATTTGGACTTTTTTTTTATAAACATAATAAATTAAGTGGTTTTTGAAAACTAGAGGGAAGTATCCTTCCTCTCTTTTGAGAAACATTATTATATGAACATCTTTATAAGCCTAACAAAGTTAACAGATCTTTTTATTCCTGGAGATTTCTTACTGTAGAAAAGCAAAATTTTTATTATCAAATAATACTATTGGGCTTCCCTGGTGGCGCAGTGGTTGAGAGTCCGCCTGCCGATGCAGGGGACACGGGTTCGTGCCCCGGTCCGGGAAGATCCCACATACCGCAGAGCAGCTGGGCCCGTGAGCCATGGCTGCTGAGCCTGCGCGTCCGGAGCCTGTGCTCCGCAACGGGAGAGGCCACAACAGTGAGAGGCCCGCTACCGCAAAAAAAAAAAAATCAAATAATACTATTTGACTAAAATATTTATGGGTGTAGTAATATGATATCTAGGATTTGCTTCAAAATAATCTGGGGGTGGTGGAGTAGAAGAGTGCTAATATTATAGATAAAACACAATTGTCCTGTGAGATAAGTCTTGAAGCTGAGTGATGGGTACACGGGGAGTCCATTTTACTATTCTCTCTACTTTTGCATGTACTTGAAATTTTACACAACAAGACATTTTAAAAACTAGATTCCCTGTATACGCCAACAGTAGAATAGATAAAGTGCATATCCATAAAAGAATAATTTGTAGCTATAAAAAGGCTACAAAATAACTTTTGAAAAGCAAGTTGTCTACATGGTTCTCTGTGTAGTGTTAATACATATTGGGAGAAGCAGAGTCCAGATTATTGTATGTGGTATGCTATATTTTAGGTAAACAAGTGGAAAAAATAAGGATAGACAGCAGGAAAGAGAGAACAATAGGAGAGACAAGAGTGAAAGCAAGAGTTCCCGATCGCCTCAATTTTGTTTTAATTTTTGAACTATGTGAATATTTTATCTTTTTAGAAAATTAAGTTAAGAATAAAAAAATAGCTTGCTAAAGCTCACAAAAGGAGGGCGGTAGGAAAAAAATGCTTCACACTAGATAGAAAATGGGGCTTTAGAACCGTAAGTCTCAGGTTTGAGTCGCAGCTCTACAAATCAACTTATATGCCCTTGGGCATATTAAACTACAAAAGCCTGAGGTTCCTCATCTGTAAACAGTAAATACTAACAATAACAATAATAATAATAATATACAGACTCTACAGGGTGGCTACAAAGATCTAATGAGACAACATTTATTTAATATTAATATGTATTTAACATTAAATGTAAATATATAATAACTATTTAATAAGTGTTTAGATAAATATTTATTAGGCACTTAATATGTGCCAGGCAATGTAGTGCTCACGGTATATACAATCATCATGAAAATATACAGTCTCAGCTCTTGTTAGGAAAGGACAGACCATAAGAGAATATAGGCAAGTGCTTCCTGTCACAGAAGCAGGCCCAAAGGGCCATGAAATCAGAAAAAATCTATGAACTCTGTGTGACACAAGCTTCCCAGGGATGGCAAAACATAACCTGAGTTAGGAAAAATGAACTCACCAAAAAACGAAGCGTAGGAAATATGAAAATGTTTCATAAATTAATCCATACAAATAGTAATCACCAGAATTATTTCTAATTATCCAAAACTATTTTGGATTAATTGAAACACCTATTCTCTTACACTAGAGTAAGGAAGTAGAATAGATATGTAGACATAATACAACTTTGTACATTTTCAAATTTGGTCTTTTAAACTATTTTTCTTTGTTGTTATTATGTCTAAACCCAGTGTACAAGTAAAAATTAATAAGTCTAGGAAACATTTTCTTCTATCTACATTGGTATGTTCTTTCAGAAACTATGCACATTCAATCACAAATGATAAACCAATCCAACTGAAAGAAAAATAGACAAACAATTCCAAGTCACTCTTCTGAATCTACTTTCTCATTTTTATGACATAGCATCTAAACAAATTTAATAACAGAATACTTCAAACATATTTTTAACTCCCGTTTATAGTAAGATGGTGATTAATTACAACTCAGTAGTCTCATTTGCTTTTAAACTAGTCTGAAACTGAATTTTACTGGGTGTACCTCACTAAAAATATTTGTCAATATTTATAGATCTATGATTCAAATACACACTTTTGCTTTTTTCCTAAGTTACAGCACTAAGTTGGGTATCAAATATTAATTTTTAATTATATGAGTAAAAAATACACATGTAACATTTTCATTTTTATACCTATTAACTATATATTCCCAGTGATATAACTACAATGAAAAACTTAATTTTGAATTCTACTTCTTGCATGAATTTAAAACTTCAGCCTTATTGCCTATTAATGCCATTTTGGGTAATCCAATCATTTTTTTCTAAAAAAAAAAAACAAAAACAAAAAAGCTTAACTAAAAAAAAAAAAGCTTAACTTACGCAAATTTGCTTTACATATAGGTGCACTCAAATACATGGGTCTGACCACCTAGAGGGGTGGGATAGGGAGGGTGGGAGGGAGGGAGATGCAAGAGGGAAGAGATATGGGGACATATGTGTATGTATAACTGATTCACTTTGTTATAAAGCAGAAACTGACACACCATTGTAAAGCAATTATACTCTAATAAAGATGTTAAAAAAAAATACATGGGTCTGAGAATTTTGCAGGTAAAAGGCATTCATTAAAGATGAAAGTAAAAAACAATTATTTTAAAATTTTTACAAAGTTTGTTGCATCCTAGTTAAGACCTGTTTAAATAATAAAACTCTGCAAATTCTATTAATTAATTTTTAATATAGGGGAAAAGTCTAAGTCTTTTTTAAAAAACCAAATTAAATTATGGACTTGGGACTTATGGAACTTTATGTAAAACTATTTACAACAAAGGCTGAGGGTCAGACTTGGTCCACGACAGTAGTTTGCCAACCCCCAGTTAAAATGCCTTTGCTAACCTTAGGAGTTCCTTCTCATTCTCTAAGCCCTAGGGAAAAGGACGCTTTCCTTAGGATGCCTTCATTCAGTTCCCCTCTCAGATTTAATCCTTCTCTTTATTACGCTCCCATAGTACTTTAGTATTTAATATTTCTACCTATACATCAACATATATAGGTACACAGTATCTCTGGTAATGGAATTTTGAGTCCTAAAAGGAGCTCATTCACCTTTATGCCTTCAGCTCTTAATATAGTGACAGGTGATATGCACAGGATATGCACTCAATCAATGAAGGTGCATATTTTAAAATGTTTTCAGAAAGAAATTCATCCCAAGGTTGTTGATAAAAAGAACACTCTGATCAGCAGATCTTCCTGTAACGCGCCAGATGGCAAACACATTGGACTTTGCAGAACGTGAGGTCTCTGTCGCAGCTACTCCACTTTGCCAAGGTAGCACAAAAGCCACCACGGACAAGATAAAACTTCATAAGCACGCTCAGTAGGTAAGATTCAGCCTGTGGGGTGTAGTGTGCCAGCTCCTCTCTAATAGAGTAAAGACTATCTTCAACTATATCATTATAGTAAATAGAATAACGCGTGTCTTAACAACATGCTACCTGCTCTAAACGCACACCTTAGCTCTCTGAACATAATACTGTTTTTCCCAGCTTAATAAAATCCATTAAAAAAATGTTTTTCACATTTTACCTGAATAATTTCAGAATTAAATTTCGATTCCAAATGTGCTGCTCTCTCTGCTTCAATATCTTCTTCTAATTTCCTCACTCTTAGAGTAGTTGCCTGAAAACATTAAGTTTAAACATTGGAATTTAAATTGAATATAGGCCACTATATTGTAATTAACACTTTGGATTACTATAGCCTCATTTTTTCATTTGCAAGAGTATAAAAGTCATGTTGCAAAAATAATGCTCGGGAAGAATGCTCCAGAGCTTGTTTTCTTTTTCTTTATTCAGTTATACTTTACATGTAATAAATTACACATATTGAAATTGTATAACTTGGTAAGTTTTGTATATATACACCCACGAAATCATTGCCATAATCAAGACAGACAAATATTTCCGTTACCCCAGAAGATTCCTTGTGTCCCTTGATAACCCCGTCATCCAGTCCTCACCACCCCACCCCTAACCCCCAAGTAAACACTGATCTGCTTTTTTGTCACTATAGATCATTTCCTGTTTTCCAGAATTCAATATAAATTGAATCACACAGTGCATATTATTTATTGCCTGGCTTATTTCTCCCCACAAAATTATTTTGAGTTTCATCCATGTGGTTGCACATATCAATAGTTCACTTTTTAATGTTAAAGTGTTCCACTGTGTTGATACACCACAATCGGTTTATCAGTTCACCTACTGATGGACATTTGAATTGGATGCTATACAAAGGAATATATATAGGGCTATATATTAGGGCTATACAAAGGAATCTTCTATGAGCAATTATGTATAAATCTTTGTATGGACATACACTTTCATTTCTCTGGGATAAATAGTGAAGGACAGAATGACTGGGTCAGGTGGTAGGCGTATGTTTAATGTTTTATGAAACTGACAAACTGTTTCACAAACTGTTTCCAATTTCATGCATCTTCACCAACACTTGGCATGGTAGTCTTTTGGGTTATTTGGGGGCGAGGGTTAGACATTCAAATAGGAATGTAATGGTATCTCATTTTAGTTTCAATTTTCATTTTCCTAATAACTAATGACATTGAGCATATTTTCATGTATTTATTTACTATCTGTATATCTTTTCTGGTGAAGTTTCTGCTTAAATCTTTTTCTCTTTTTTTTTTTTTTTTTTTGTGGTGTACGCAGGTCTCTCTGTTGTGGCCTCTCCCGTTGCGGAGCATAGGCTCCGGACGCGCGGGCTCAGCGGCCATGGCTCACGGGCCCAGTCGCTCCGCGGCATGTGGGATCTTCCCGGACCGGGGCACGAACCCGTGACCCCTGCATTGGCAGGTGGACTCTCAACCACTGCCCCACCAGGGAAGCCCCTTTTTCTCATTTTTTAATTGGGTTGTTTGTTTTTTTATTATTGAATCTTGAAAATTCATTATATAATCTGGATACAAGTCATTTTTTGGGTACGTAATTTGCAAATATTTACTCCCAAATATTGTCTACAGCTTGTCTTTTCATTCTCTTAACGTTAGTATCTTTCATATAGCAAAAGTTTTTGTTATGACAAAGTCTAATTTATTAGTTTTTCAAGCTGGAGTCAGCCCCGCCACACCTAGAGTCCTGTCTGTCAAATATAGATAGTTCAACAGTGAAAGAGAAAGACAATAGTAATTTAATTTCCTTTCTTAGATAAAATTTGGGCAAGAAATGTTTCTATTCGTTATACTTACTCTGTCATTTAGCCTTAGCTAAAGTTTTTTTTTTTATGCTCAGCTTGATTAATTTGATTTTTCCTCTTTTCTCCCGCCATTTCTTTTTTGCATACAGACAGAGATGGTAATGTATCACATTACATCAAGGGGAATAAATAAAAATAGGATAATCCAAAAACTAATCAAGTGGTCTGTGGATAAGTAAGAAATGACTACACTTTTCCTTGAGCAAAACATATTCCTATAAGTCTGCTACAGTGCAGAGCATAAACACAAAAAAGGTGAAAAAAACCCAAGTGCCCATCAACTGATGAATGGATAAACAAAATGTGGTATATCCATACAATGGAATATTATTCAGCCATAAAAAGGAATTAAGTACCAACACATGCCACAACATAGATTAACCTTGAAAATATATGTTAAGCGAAAGATACCAGACACAAAAGACCACATATTAAGTGACTTCATTTATATGAAATGGCCAGAATAGGCAAATCCATAGAGGTAGAAAGTGTATGAGTGGTTTCCAATAGCTGGGGACAGGGGAAGGAAGGAATGAGCACTAACTGCTAATGGGCATAAAGTTTCTTACTGGGGTGATAAGAATGTTCCAGAATCAGATAGTGGCAATGGTTTCATAACCCTGAACTGCATACTTTAAAAGAGTGTATTCAATACTATGTGAACTATATCTCAATAAAAAATAAAAAGAATCCCTAAGTGTAAGAACCAATGACATTTCAAAGAAGTGACCACCACCTATGTCAAGCTTCTTCATTTCTATTGAGAAGTTCCTCTCAGTGCTGACTTTGAATCCTAGAACAAGGGATCCCCACTGGTTGTAGGTACGAAGATGATACATACTAGATCAGAAAAATTCTTAATGGTCAGCCAGATTAAAATGAGTATTACCCTAGGTAGGGCCAATACTAGTAAAAAAAAAATTTTTTTTAATGTAATGCCACAAGATGAAGTTCCTGTCCTTGAAGAACTAAAGTCAACTTTCTCAATATTCAAAATACTTGTGTTAGGTTCTGCAAGTCAGAAGTCTAACCAGTGTCAAGGAAATAACCCATAGACATTGAGAATAAAGGATCAAAACAGGCAAAAAGCTGATAAAGGGCAAATAGAAGAAACCAGTCTAATAATGTTAATATATTCTTTCATATTCCAAAAGGCATTTACATAGTTTTATCAAAATAAGTGTTATTTTATTAAAATACAGAATATTCAGTGATTCCATGATAAAAGAGGCAAAATTTTCATTTTTCATGTACATGTTGTCATATTAATCAATTTATCTGATTTCACTCCAAAAGTCACAAAGACTTTTTTTTTCTGCCTAAACCAAAATCAAACGGGTTGAAATAATAAACCAGAGATCCCACCTTTATTTCCATACCTTCCTGTTTTAAATGAAATGTCCAGAAGAAAACAAATTTATAAACTGTTTATTAATGACTAAAACAATAATCAGTAAGGACAGCAAAAAAAATCTTCACATATTTAAACAAATTTCTTCAAGAGTGTGTTTTGTTGACATAATTAAAGCCCTCCTAATAAATATTTTTTAATAATATTCTAGTCTGGTGAATTAATTCTTATCTCCAGCAGAGGGTGCTAGAGGAACATCAACTTGCTGTTCACAAATATTTTCCTCCAATATCACCTAAGAGAACTAGTACAACAATCATTATCTCCAATCCTAATATAATCAACATAGCAAGAGCAGAAAGCATAAGAGAATTCAGATTAAAGTACAAAATCCAAAACAAATTCATATATACCCCCGGCCAATTTAACTATATATAAATTTGCCTGTAGTACAAGGATTACACTATATACTGTCTGTTCCCTAATACTATGAACATCAGAGTTCTTTATGTGACACAAAATGATCACATATTTTATCATTTATTAGCTGGCTGTCACGTCCTTTCTGACTGCAATATACTGCCAAGAGATTTTTATTCCAGTAAATTCTGTGTTCATTGTACCCAAATTTTTTTATTTTTATTCCAGTAAATTTTGTGTTCATTGTATGGGTAAAATTTTTTTTATTTTATGATTTGTATCTCACTAAATCACAATAAGCCCAGTTAGATAGTCTACTCCACTTAAGAAAAGTGAGTGTTCATTCTTTGAAGAAGGTAACATAGAAAACATTATTTTATCATAACACAGGGCATGAGCCGCCAACTCCAATTCACAAGCAGAACTAATGAAACACATCCAGACCACATTTGTTCTCCACACCACATCTGCTCCCATGGCTTCCATGGGCCTGTTCCAAAGTTTCACAAAAATTATGAAAACATATGTGTTCAAGGAATTTGCTGAGACACTGGGCAAAAGCAGCTCCTACTACATTCTTGCCTCCTCAAATAGAATATGCCCAGCCCAGAGGATATACATGAACTTAAAGGGATTAGTCAAGCAGAAAAACCTTGATATATGAAATTTAGCCCACTAAAATGGACATCAAGAAAAATAAGGGAGGAAATATCACACAAGTACCTACCAATCAAAGACTTCTCAGTAGTGTGTTAGGTAGTACTGTTTCCAAAACAGTTGTACAAAGTTTACCCCAGAATATCAATAGCTGTATAAATAGGAAGTGGTTGTTTATTTAACTATTGTTCCAGATTTTATCACCTGATATTTCCCATTAATGAAAACTCTTACAAGTAACCAATATAGTAATAATCCATCTTCAAAAAGATGATTCTAAGGGACTGATTAATTCTATAATGGTTATTTTAGTGGTAAGTATATGTATTATATTTTAGTGGTTGTAAATAATATATTAAATGTGTGTTAACAGTTAATGACAATTAACTACAATCCTTATTCCCTACCTGTGTGGGAGAAAACAAGAGTAGTTACTATACTTGGAGCTCTTAAACTGAAGATCTCAAAGTATTTTTTGTTAACAAAAAAGATATCTTAGAGAGTCAGAATCTCTAAGGAACAGAATTTACAAGCCACAAATTCTGTTTGGCATGGTAATAAATTAATTTAGCATCTTTAAAATCATCTTTACCTTTTCTAGCAGTAAAAAACTTCAGTATTTAACAAAATTTTTAATGAACTTACAGTTTTAAAATCCATTATGAACATAAATACAAAAATGTATAAAACTTATAAGCACAGTAGTATAACCCAGGTGACTTATTTACCTTTTATAGTTGGTAATCAACACAAACAGGTGTTTAAAAATCATTCCTACAAACACATGATGGCTTTAAAAAGATGATTCATATGCGGTTGCTTCACAGACAATACAAAAGGTGAGAATCATTTTTCTTTTCCTTTTTCACTTGGGTATGGTATATGTATAAGTAAAAAACTACATTCTACCCTTCTTTACGTTACCATAATATAGAATATGACTGACAGAAGCAATTCAGAATTTATTTTCAAAGACTGC